TGGAAGACAACACAAGAAACAGAGTTTTCTACTGAGAGTATTTCACTTTAAATCTGTTTTGTCTCTTTAAGAAAGTGGTGCAGGAATGAGTCCTAAAATCCCAAAATGAGTTAGCCTTTTACCACAGCCGGCTCTAAGTCCATGGTCTTTTGCTATGTGTTTTTGGTTGTTTGCCAGAATTTAAGTTTGTGGTTATAACAAGCGGAAGATATTTTAACGTTTTGTTCTATGACAAGAATTAAGTCAGTAAATACCCCACTGGTGAAATGTAAAAGTGTCTAGACTTTGCTATAGTTTCTTTATAGGTTTATATAGTTAGCTTTTTTACTACACTAATCATTAGGTGGTGATCAAAATGTGAATAAACACAAAGGGCTTCATATCCGAAGCAGAAGAACAAACCACAAGCTCATATTTAGCACTCGTAGAGAATCCAAACCTCCTCAGAGTCATCAGATCAGCCTTACTTGACCTTCGTCAATCGATGGTAAATGGGTTCTTGTTAACCCCAGACTGACCTCCTCTGACCTGAATGAGCGTTCAGGGAACTACAAAGATCCACAGGGAGGCATCATGTCTGCCGCCCTGAGTCGCTCCCTTGTTGCCAGGGGTCTCTTTAAAGACCGCTGACCTTTTGGCTCCATGTTACTGAGAGCGTTTCTCATCCACTCGAGTTAAACTAGCAAGGAAATAATCAATGTGAGTCTATCTGAACAGGATGTTTGTGTCCATTTTCAATGCATGAATGTCTTGTTTGATAACTAATGAAAAATACAGTTAACCAAAAGCATGGTTCATTTTGTTTAAAATGGGAAATCTGTTGATCAGCTAGCTTTTGCTCAATGACTGAGACGAGACATGACACCGTTAAATACTAACTGTGACGAGATCAATGTGCAAAATTACTCAAATTAAGTTTAGCAAAGATGTTTACAAAAATATCCCTTTAGTGTAATATATTATTATTATTTTCTATATATGAGGACTACAGCAGGACACTTACTGTGACCATATCGACATAGTAACATATTATCTGCAGTATTATACAATTTGCATCGACTTAAACTAAAATAGTTTGGGGTTTCGTTCACTAAGATGAGACATAAACGCCCAGACTTTGTCAAATAAAAAACAGTATGACTTCAAATGATAATAACTGAAAATGCCCTTTCTCAGAGGACTTTGAAGGTTAATAACATTCAACATTAAAGTTACATTATAGCAGAAAACTTCACACACACAGTCAGCTTCAAAGCCCCCCTGATAAAAAGTGTTTCTCTGTCATGACTCACAGAGCTGCGGGGGGGTCAGGGCCTTCTGTAGGAGTCCCTTTGATTCCTAATGTAGTCACAGAAAGACTTCCTGGCCCGGATAGAGAGAGAAAAAGGGAGTGAGAGAAGGGATCAAATGGGATAGAGGCGTGTTTTGTTCTCTCCTCTCTATCTGTGGAGGGTTCCCGACTGATGGAGCTGCTGTTTAATCTCTGCTGGCTCCACACAAACACACACACACAAACTCACAAAACTAAAGGACTTAAAGCACGCTCATCTGTACAAATAAGTCAAGTATCTTGAGAGGCGTTTGTTCATTAAAAATCATTACAGCTTACTTTTCATATTATATATCAGAAAACACATATTCAATTTATCTCAGTTAGATTTTCTTATCCAAAATATATTTTTTAGAATGATTAGCTTTTGCTTAAAGATCCTCACTGCCTGAAAACCTTCACTGGACTCCTTTGTTTACATCGGGAAAATAGTGACATCACTATGTAACACTTGCACTTCTATTAGCAAGTGCTCCAACACATTGTACGTGATAGGCTAAGGGGCAGGACTTCCCTTAGGGGTTGACCAATCACAACAGAGGCGGGCAGCTAACCAATCAGAGCAGACTGGGCACAGGATGTATGTGAATAATAAAGACTTTTTTTTAACATTAAAGCATGGAAACATGTCAGAGTAGAGGCACAAAATACATTTATGAACAACCTGCACTGTTCAGGTGATAAGGTGTGATGATTAACAGGGTAAAGCTGCTGTTTTATGCCTTTTATTCTGCATTTTATAGTTGTACTTTGAATTGTGTCCTGCGTACTGTACTGTAAAGCACTTTGTACATCCGTGTTGAGAAGGGTGCTATATAAATAAAGTTTTACTTACTTAAAGCTAGTTTATTGACTAATGATGAGTAATTGGCCAACCCTATGATAAATGTTGACTTTAGCAGCAGTCACAGACTGGTTGCACCAGTTTCTGCTTTCAATAGAAAATTATTTCACAAGCTGCCGCTGAGGGTTCTGCATCCGAGCAGAACCACATGAACAAAAAATCATTTTTAATGCCAGGAAGACTTTCCGGTTCTGTCCTTTTTTTAAATATCAGATAGGTTGCTTGAGACATTTGTAAATCAATTACCTCTTTGCTTGTCCTAATTTCTTATTATTACCTGAGAAAATAAGTTTAAATGTTTGGAAATTGGTTTCTTACTTAACTAATATCCTATTAAATCTCTCATATTAAGTTTGAAGCTGTAAACAGCTGTGCAGCTTCCTGAAACAAATATGGCATGGTGATCCTAAATAGTGTGAGGTATCAACTAATTCAGAGAATTTCCCACCAGTTAAAAGTTATCCCTGAGCCAGTAACACACAAGCTGGAGAGAGTCAGAGGTCATAAGTTACATCCTGTGAGATTTGAAAGAAAAGATGTCCCACAATCTTTGTAGCCTTAACTGCATCTGATAAATAATCAGATTAAAAATGAATCCTATGACTATGACTGGAATGCATCCTTACTCGCTGTATATTTGGGGTTCCCACATGTTGTGTTTACAGAAGCTCCATCTCAGCTGAGCTCATTTATGGCGGCCATTGTTAATGTTTAATATTTGCATTCCTCCGCTGCATTTGGTCACACTGGTTCCCAGCAGCACTTGAGTTTAACAAGTGGTGAATCACAGCCTGGAAGAAGGCCAGCTCAGAGACACTTTAAACGTGTATTTACCCAGAAAGCGAGTTTCCCTAACACATAGACATATTTAACTTTTACCTATGGAATCATCTAATTAGAAAGAGGTATTGAACGCTATCATCACATCAGCGGTGTGGAAAATCTCATGTGAAGCATTCGGTTTGTGGGGAGCTTGACATTTATTAAGTATTTTTCCTAGACGAAACAAGATATTCATGGTAAGGGACAGGCCTTATTAAGTTTTCCACAGATTCATAAATCTCCCACCATGCAGCTCCTGGTGTCTGGGAATGTAATAAGGCTGACATGGTGTAATGTGCGACATCCATCACTAGCATTAGCATCTCCAACATTCGTTCTGTTTAAAGAGACCTCAAGTTGATTTAAAATAGATCGTAATGAGAAACAAACCTGAAGTCTAAAGAGAGAAAACCTAATTAACATGACGTTATTTACTTGGGTCCATTCCAATATCCTGTCTCGTCATTTGATAGCGTTATTTGGCCACAAGTGAAGTAATGGAGGACTAAAGAAGGGTATGAATTTTGCACATCTGAACTTGGCAGGCTGCAGCTGATTTTATTTGGTTTGCTTTCCACAAAGCCTCCGTGTCATTCACCCTCTGATCACAGTCACTATTAGGACTGACTTATCTCACTTTCCAAAAAAAGACAAGTACAGAGGTGGATAATTATTCAGTAAATGAACCAGTACAACAGTGAAGAAATACTGTTGCAAGTAAATGTCCTACAGTGAAAATCCGTATGTGTTCCACAGTATGTCCACATGACATAAAGTGGAAATGCACACATACAAGCATCTAAACGTTCTACCTTAGTTACTTGTTTACAATCTTCCACTTACTATGTTCTTAGTATTTGCTTGAAAAGAGAATAAAAGGGGTGATTTAGTGAAAGACGTCCCCACAGACTGTGTCAACTGCTTCTGCCTTTCAAGTAGGAACTGTACACTTATAAGGGCAGAGAAAGGAAAATGCGACGTCTGTTTATGTGTACTGTAGCGTGTAGCTTGGAGGAATCTTGACTCAGAGAAGTATTACAACATAAACCTGCAGAACCTGCTCTGTGCATCCAATTAATCCACGACCACAAGCTCCAGGCTCTCCCCTCGGGATGTCAGCTATCAGTCAGCCGTGCAGAGGGTACGTTTGCCAAGACACGAGAACTTTAACAGAATTTGCTGACAGAGGTCACGCTGAGGAAGGCTCTCTGGTTTAGTGGCCTCATCCTGACAGCTTTAAGCTCCCAAAGCCTCTGGGAAGCAGAGATAAGGAAATGCACCATAAAACCCAAATAAAGCTGCTTTGTTTTCAGGGTGACAAAGTAACACGAACATTTAAAGTGCCAGGATAAAGTGATTATATCTGTCTGGAACTAATGCAACACTTAAAGAGTCCAGCTTTGTGCATTGCATTCGAAACACATCCACAAATATACTTTATCCATGAGAGCGCTCTGTGGACAAAGTGAATAATTGACGACTAATCCAACACGGCAGCGTTTCCACAGCATTCAGCTTCTCATCTTTCCTGTAATGACTTTTCCTCTATACTCTGTCTGGAACTTCAATTATCATGAAAGATAAGAAGCTAGTGAGATGCATCAAAAATTAAAACAACACAATGGAGCGTCATATATTCTGCATGGCTGGCATTTCAGCTCTATGGACGCCTTTAGCTCGAGCATTGCACTCCTCAAGAAACTTGATTCCCATCTATGATAATCGTTGGTATGCCATCCTTAAAATGAGCCTGAGGAACTCCCCTTTGTTAATAGCTCGGGAATTTTAGAGGGCAACAACTTTCCATATTTAGAAGCATTTTCCTGGTTTAGTTTTTTTTATCAAGCGGCAATAATGAGGGTAATTTTCCATGCCACATTACACAGGGGACCTAGTCTGACATCACTATTATTTTTGACTCAATTTGACCAAAAAAGGAAGGCACCATGTTCCCTTTCCACTTCATTAAAAGAGGCAGTGAAGTGAAGATAATGCATAGTTGTTTTTTTCCCATTAAAGAATAACACAATGTGAGCAGAAGGAGAATCTAAATGTATTATTTCATTTCCACAACAACATCAACAGCAATCAATAAAAACATTTCAGAAGCATAAAAGTATAAAAATTCAAAATGTAAAGCTGAAACATGTAACGCTATTTTTTGTGACAGAGAATTAAAGTGTGCCCACAAAGCAAACACGTGTTTCCCATCTGTCCACCATTAATACATCTCTGCCTCAGGCCTGAATTATCTGTGAGACCATCACATCGCTCTGTTTTCAGTCAAGCATCTGTTCTTTGGATGTGCTGCTAATCTCGTGAGTAAGGAACTCCCATCAGTCGAAACAGTTCAGTAAGAAATCATTAAAAGCTTTATAGTAGGCGGTGCTCTGAATTTGGCATGGAAGCTAATTGCACTTTGCTGCTTTAACACTTCAGCTTTAAACGGTTTACCAACTCAGCATGAAATGTCCAATTTTCCAAATGGCTGCTAAATCCTAATCTACTCCTTCACTAAGATTGTGCTTGACCTAACGCAACAATACATTGTCCACAGATAAGGAAGACTACTTTTAATCACCCCATCTTCAGGAATTTTAGTACACTAAGTTTGAAAATAAACTGCTGAGGTATTAGATAACTCCACAATAAATAAAATCAGCACCTTTATAATTGAATTGACCTGCACAATAAAATATTAAGACATAAAGAATTGTGAGACAGTTTTCACAATTTGGTGCAACGTTAAGGTTTGGTGAGGTGTGTTTGTAAGGAGACATTTGGTAACAGAAAATGTAAAGCATGTTGGGAAAAAATAAGACTTTTTAAAATCTTTCTCCACACAGGATATCTCAGGAGTCTCTGTGTTTAGCTGATCATTATCCAAAGCAGTAGTATTCATCTGATTCAACCCTGAGTTTCAGAGGCGACTTGCTGAAAGTGTCACCATCGATAACCGTTTTTTCCATAAAACTGTCGAGATCTGTGGGCGAGGGTTCGTCGGGCAGGTCCTCCAGAGTGTCCAGGTAACTGCCCACAGACAGAGCGTCCAGCCCGTCGCTGCCCCCATCGTTCAGGCTGCTGAGGCTGCCCTGCAGCGAGCCCCCCTCCTGGCTGTCTGTCAGGCTGTACAGGCTGCCCGTCAGGCTGCCCTCCTGACTGGCAGCGCCCCCTTTGTCCTCTATCAGCCACCGTACCGACTCGATGCCCTCGTTGATGGACATGAGCTGCTGCATCAGCTTCACGTCGATGGCTCGCAGGTGTGCCTGTGAGAAAAAGATCACGGTCGCGTTATAGTTTGGAAAGAGGATACAGTATAAAATAATAATGCACTTTTTTTGTTTTTTCAGACTCTCTAAATAACCCTAACTCCTAGGATTAAGGTTTGTTATTTTGAGAAATTAAAATGTTAATGTGGAGGAGCCAGCTACCCGCTATTAAAAAGTGGTGACAGATAACCAACAAGTACCAAATCGCCTAAAATAAGTATTGCTAAACATGACAAGAATGCAAGCAGGGCACACAAAGACATTTTTAGAAGTTACTTTGAATCTGATACTGCTCTCACATCTGTGCCAGTTAGCTTAGCATAAAGACAAGGGAAACTGCTAGCCTGGCTCTGTGCAAAGATGCACCAACTGGCATCTTTAAAACTGAGGGATAAGTGTTTGTAAAGGCAAAGATATGATTTGAGTTTTGGCGTCACCATAATGCCAGCGGACTCACACTGTGCACTTCCAATAAGCTCATATATGTCAAAGTAATTTGTCATATTCCTTTGTAAACTTGAATCATTTTACTGTACTATTGTATGCACCATTATACTCCTGAGCAAACTCCTTGTACGTGTTTGGCAATAAACCGGATTCTGATTCTGATTAATTAACCTTGTGCTGGGATATTTCCCTCAACAGTTGTTTGCATTCTTGTGTCGTCTCATGGCGAGAACACTATGTGCTTTTAGTTTAGACTGTCAGGCTTTGTTATGAACAAAGAGACGTGACTATGTGGCACCGGATAAGTGACTACTCATTAAACAGCATGCGGAGGATTTTGAATAATGTGCAGCCTACTTTACACAGTATGGCCATTGATTTAACTTCTGCCATGACACGCATGCCATTGACTGGGTTGGTGGAAGTGGGCTATGGGGTTAATCGAAGGGATTCCCCCTGTCTGTGTCTACTGGTGAACCACACTCAGTCAGGCTGGAAACAGCTGCAACAGCTGCTACATTCAAACTGTCTCGTGCTTTCTTTGGAGAGGATTCACCTCTTATTCAGCTCATGTTGCTGCCGGTGTGTTTGTTGTCTGAGTATAACGCCCGCTCTGCACACACAGAGGCAGAGCAGATGGAGTCATATTTCTAATTCAACCCGGAGCAGCTATCTCATGCTAATAAGATGACACCAGTGGGGTCGTATCACAAAATGAGTTCAGAAAACAACATTAGTGCTGCAACATGTTGCCTGTGTTCGATGGCAACACCACAACATGTTTCATTTGTCTGAGTAAAGTAAAACATTTTCGGGAACATTTCAAAGTTAATTTGCTCCTTTGAGAGGCTGCAGATTATTTCAGCGTCAGTGTAAACATTTAGAGAAACACAATGATGTTGTTTACAGCCAAACATTATATCAATTTGTAAAAGCAGAACACTTTTCCTTCTCATATCAGCATAATTAAGTGATGCTGTTATTAAACTACGGTAAAGGTGAGATGGTGTAAACTAATTGTTCCAGATACAGGTCTGTGTGTAAGCCTATCAACACACACTCGGATTGGTCACTCTGCTCATGATGCAGCTCTCCTCGGTCAGCAGGCCATCTGCTCAGGATCCTAATACCTCTCCTGAACTGACTTTAGATGGGGGGGGGGGGTCTGCTGAACTGCCGTGACATTAGATGATCTTCTTGCTGGCAGATAAAACTCTGAGGTAATTACACCGGGACAATTTAGGTTACATGGGGCAGTTTGAATAATAAAGGGGGGGGGGTAGGGTATATATGGGTGCTTCAGGTGTGAACTGCTCTCACACACTGACTGCTTTGACAAAAGACAATGACCCTGACAGTGCTGCTTTGCATTTAACAACCACATGTTGATATGTAGAGGCATGTCCTCAGAGCAGACAGTGTATTTTAACTGGACATTAAACTATAAAACATAGCTAATAGCTGGCCTATTAACAGTGATACTTTAATAAGTTGTTTGCCTCATCTACTTCAATGTTGAGCTCAGATAACTGTACAGTTAAGGATCACGGAACTAGCTTGTAATTAAAAGTCAGTCAACTTTATATTTTTTATTTGGTTATATGTAGACCTAGTTTCATCCAGCAAAGGCGTTTCCTCTGAAAGTATAGAGCATCTTATTTGGACTGTCATTGAATTAGGCAGAATAGCAATAATTATACATATTAGCTTTATATATATTCAGTCACTTTTAATGTTTTATGTCCTTCATTCAAAAGTTAGTAGAAGAATAAACGACTCAGAAATATTTACAGTTAAGAAGGATTTAACTAGCTCCTAAAAAGAACCAGTAAACTTTTTATTTATTATTTAGTTGCCAACTATTTTGAAAATCGAATAATCGGTATTTCGCAGGCCTACATTTTTAAATAGGGATAACTACTCGATTAATCGACTATGAAAACAAGTATCACTGAATCTATGTCTAAACCTTGCCATAAGTCATTGCGTGTAGAATTTAGTGTAATTAACACTATCTATCTAGCTACAGGGACAGTTCATTAACAGATGTTTATTAATCATGATATAGAAATAGAAGCTCACCATTTCCTGTCTGAGGAACAGCATCTTGCTCTGCAGCCTCTGCAGGTCCGCACTGTTAGCGGACAGTGCGCACAGAGAGCTCCTCTCCTGCGGCTTCCCTGCATACAGAGAGCGGATCAGACCATCCGGGACCTTCAGCCCCAGCTTAGTCTCTATATCTCTCAGATCGGGCAGCCCGGGGTTACCTTCCTCCATGGTGAATACTGAGAGATGGCACTGTGATGACGAGCGGCAGAGACGCGCGAGAGAGCTATCCAGAGAGGAGTTGATTCAGAGTTGCTCCTCTAACTTTATCCCACAGACAGACAGAAGCTCTGACTCCTCACTGAGCCTCACTCAGACCTGCCTGCACAGCAGACCAATAGAGAGGCCGCTTTCCAACACGTGCTGTGCGTAAACCCTCCCCCTGTAACCGGACACCCACAGGTGGAGGACAGCGGGCTGCATGTAATGAATATATCCTCCACTTTGCCCTCAACATGTGTCTGCAACAGTGACACATGCAACATCAAACAATTCGCACGTGCAGTTGCATAAGTTATAGTTTTATTTTGCAGATGTACTACTCTTTGTTTAATGAGTTCATTAAGTGTATATCATTATTGTTTATGTTATTCACAGAGGTATTCCTGTGAATTATGTTTAAAAAAAAAATATGTATACGTTTTTTTAATTAATAATTTCGGTATTGGTCATCGTTTGCAATTTACCATCTAGTATTGTATGATCCGATGGGTTGCAGTGTTTTGTTGATCTCAACATATAGATGAAGGATGTGATGATTCATTACATAATATTTCTGTGCACGTTGATCATATTTTAATAAATTAAGATGTGTTAAACTTATATGGATCCCTGCAAATATTCTCACTCATACAAGATCAAACATTTTGCAGGTGCACCTATCAGTTTAAGTATTATATCTATGAGTAGCATTCATTTAGAAATGAATAAAATACTTCAATATTTTATTTAGAGTGGGCTTCCTGTGTCTTCTGGCATTATATTTGTTTATATGCTAAAGAAGCATGACAATACCCAATATTGCTAACTTTGGAAATCATAAAAACATTTGAAATATATATAAGAAAGGTAATAGCAGCAACGGTTAAAAACAAAGATGAATACAGGTGACCAAACAAAAGCTGAATCATGACTGAAAAGATAACTCCCCCAAAACATGTTTGCTACATAGATTATATTAAATATGTTGTGATTTGTTGTGTAATTTAATATGTATTTTGTGTGTTTATTCATGTCACCAAGTGTCAGTGGAAAGTCAGACAAACCTCTGTGTGTACATACAGTTTAATCATTTAAATAATTTGGCATGCACTCAGATCCAGCAACAGTATGTAAAAACAGAAAAGCATTAAGGACCATATCATATGGATTATTTTGTTTTCAAATGAGAGATAAAAAGCTGTATCTGGTGACTCTGCACTTCCTCTGAATCACCACCTCTGCTTTCTCTGAAAGTTCATAAATTAATTCAATTGTGGGATCAATTTACTTAAAAACATAATAATAAAAAAACCCTCCTATCTTTCTCTCCTAAATACAGAGTAAGGTTGAACTATTGCGCCCCCTTGTGGGCATAATGGCTCTGTGTCATGTCATTTTCAGCTTTTCCCAAATCTGAAACATTTGAAAGATTCATTGCAAACTCTGCAAAACCATATTTCGCATAACGGTCAATATATACATTGACCTTTTCATAAAATAAAAAAATGGCATATGTGTAAATAAGAATTAACTACACCAGCTTTGTTTTTGAGATATGAATGTTTCCAAGAGATTACTTCCTGTCACTTTGAGGAATCTGCAGATTGAGCCGTCTGCTCAGCTGTGTCTCTGTACAGAAAAGAGAGACTATGATCTAAACTACTGATTGGCTCTTCTCGTCGTCGTAGCGCTGGTACTGGTCTGAGAGCAGAGGCTGGCGGCCCTCCATCTTGTATGACTTTGCTCGCACGGCACACGTCGTGGCGGCAAAAACAACCGCAACCAGCACGAGGGCGGATACTATCCCCATTGTGATGATTTCGGTCATTGTGAAAGCTTGAGCTGGAAATGTAAAGAGGAAGATTATTACTATCGTTCTGTGGATTATTTAAAGAAAGCAGAGCCACAGAAATCCTCCTCACCTGGCCACTCGGCTTCATATGAGTATCCCAGGTTTTCAGGGGCGGTCAGAAACATCTCTGCGTTTGTAACCGGGGGCCAGAAAGGCACCATGTTGTAGCCCCCGTTGTGACCGATGGGGGCATTCTCCTCAGGATACAGTGTGGAATCTGTCAGGAAACACTTCCAGTTAGACGAAAAGCTCCTCATGAAAAGCAGGAAGTATGCAGGTGTAATGAATAATGGTAGAAACCTGGACTGTGTCTCCTCAGCCACTCGTCAAAGATGGCGTCGGTGAAGGTGTGCAGCAGCACGAAGATGGGGTCGTTGGGGGAGAGGTGGGTCTGCCCGCCCGTCCCGTTCAGGAACAGGTGGGCCAGGTTGTGCAGGCTCCTCACCGCGGGGTCGTAGTTCCCCTTGGGGGCACTGTAGCCTGCAGAACGAGACACAGGGGGAAACAGTGAGAGAGGAAACAATGTATAACACAAATCATTAACAAATGCTAAATTAATTACAAGTTATATCAGTTCATACATATTACATCATAGCTGATAAGAGAAGACAACTCAATTATTCTGATAACATTCCTAAACAGTTTATTCTTTTTTTAAATTCTTATGGTTATATCAATATTTTCCTATTTGATTTCATTTGATCTTTTCATTGAACATTCTAACTTCAACTTATTATGTTTCTATACATATTTTACATTATATTTCTTTAATTCATTGCTGATGAGAAATGATAATATAAACTATTAACATATTGTAGATGTTTCAAAATATTTGAGATAAAAGTAATTATAGTTATCCTCCTCAACAATTATTATTATAATATATAAAATGCAAGTATATTTGTATGCATGTAGGTGTGCCTGTAACTGTTATAGTAAATAATTGCATCTCAAACAGCACTGTAAAATTCTCGTTTTTTAAACCTGTCTTTTTTTTAAATTCTCTTTGCTTTTTGATGACTTTTTAAATGTACTCACATTGTATAATGTATTTCCTTTGCAATGTCTTAATATGTTGTAAACATGATTAAAGGTGTCATTATATATATGCAGTCTCTCACCTTCGATGGTGTTCCTGAAGCTCTCGGAGGAGGTGGAGTAATACGGCGGCGTGTCGAAGGCGTTGACCTGCAGACAGTCGGCCACATCCTGGGGCTCGGGGAGGCGCTGCACCATCGGCCGGTTCACGTTCCCTGCAGGGTTCCTCCTGATGGGGGTGCTCTCAGTGCCTGGGGGGGGGGGGGGGGGGGGGGGGGGCAGGAGGTATATGAGACTCACTACAGTCTGTGCATAAAGAATACAGAGGATCACTGTAATATCTGCTCTGTGAACAATAGTCTTACTGTTGCAGATGGTTCCCAGCGTGTCGTAGTCCTCCACGCTCTCACAGATCACCCTCCACTGGGAGAAGATGGAGTTGGTGCTCAGGGAGTTCATGTCGAAGCTGCTCCTCGCCCCCATCAGGTCGTCTGTGCAGATGTCACATGTGCTCCCCCCGATGGCAAAGTTCCAGTAGGGCAGGGCGAAGGACGGTTCCTGCAGCATGTCCTGTTGGAAATAAATTCAAGTTTGAGGATTTATCTTTTTTCTGCTGCTGATAAAGTGTTCCCATCGCCTCAGATAATGCCAAATAATCTTTTAAGTCTCATTTGGTCTGCACAGAATACATTTATTATCATTTTCACACACTATGATTTACTTTAAAGACATTTCATGCCTCAATAAATCAGAAAAATGCCTATTTGAAAGCCTCCGTGGAAACAATCCTGAGGTATTTAATCAAAAACAATGATTCAATGTTTACAGGTCAAGAAACATTGAGAATAAAATACTTTTATTTTAGGAAGTTTAATTGTCTTATCCTTGCTTTTTTACAATTGTTTTGTTTGTCTAGTGCACAAACACGAGAAATAAACACATAAAGGTAAAGTTATATTGTTTGTGATTTAATTGGAGTAGGACAAGGAACTGGTGAACTTTTTCGTCACATTATTTCAGGTACTGCTACGGCAACAATAGCCCTAAAGCAGCCTCAATTTCTAAGTGTTGGTCCTAAAAGAGAAGTGTGTAATTAGGAACCACTGACTGGGTATAAACAGTGGTCCAGCTCTTAACTTGTGTGCAATTGACTGCACACAAAAGCTCAGTTGTTATTTTCCAGACACCATCTCCAAATTGAATTCAAACGCTTTAAATTACATTTTGCACGCCGCTTGTCTATTACAGCGAGAAATTGCATCTCCAGTGTTGGTTTCCTTGAATGCAGTTGTGGTGAAACGCATTAGGGATTATAAACAAGCTGTGGGGAATAACAGATGGGGGATCACTACCCACAGATCCAAACAGTGATGCAGTTTGGGATTTGTTCTGGAAATGTCGCCACAGAACCCAGTCAATAATATAGAAAACGTCATGGTGTTCATCAGTGGGCCACAGGGTTTTCAGATTTTATGATGACTTAGACATTATTTCAATGGATATCTTTATTATTACTGCTTTAAAGTGCCCTCTCAAATGGTGATTCTGTTCCGTGTGTTATCTCACCTGCATGTCTCGCTCCAGCTGCAGCAGGTGGAACCGGTGCCACGTGACAAAGCCCGGCCCCTCGTGAGAAAAGTCCACCCCCCCAAAGCTGGCCTGACCCGCGCCCAGGAAGGTCTTGCTGACGGAGAAGTAGTGCGACCACACAAAGTAGTTGTAGATGGTAATGTTCTCAAACTGCGGGGTGAGTCCGTCCGGCCCGAAGATCTCCGGGGTTCTCCGAGTGGCGATCACCAGGTCGGGGTGCACGGTGCGCTTGGCCTGATCCAGAGCATCCACAAAGGCACGCTTCTCCTCTGTGCTGAGCCCCATCACGTTTCTCCTCACTGTGGGATTACAGCAGGGGGAAAAGTGGATTAACTCACTCAGTCATGCGTTAATAGGGGATCAGATTTTAATGACTGAGAAAATAAGTACAGAAAATGTGCATAACAGGAAGATTGAATCAATTGTTCTTGTTATCAAATGCCTTTTTCTAAATAACTTTTTAAAATGCATTGGTACATTTATTTAAACTCCACACATCCAATTTCAAATGTTATTCTCCCTTCCAACCAAAGCAGAGATGATGCCATTATCTGGGTTTTTCCAGATGTAATACATTATACAAATAGGTGCCATATAAACTGATGGAGGC